CAATACATAAAAAATACATAAAAAGCAAAATATTTCATCCACATTTTAAAAAGAAAATTGTTCTAAAATATATGTATTCTGTATTTGACAAACAGTTCATTCGACAAATGAAAACTCACAGGAATATGTTTCAGCTATTAGAACAGAATGATAGAGCTTTTATAATACTGGTTTACTGGCACTTCAAAAATTGCAGTGTTTGAAGATGTAGATTTTCAGGAGGCAACAGTACTGTTGACTTCTCCCTCCACTGGACACCAACTATTTAAGTTTATTTGCATACAAAGCAGAGCTTGCAACATGATAGCTATTCATAAAGGTTTTTTTTTAACTTTTCAAATAATACAGTAGTCAAACAATGGTGCAGTTCATATTTGTCTCAGTGAATCATTAATTTTTGACAGACACCTGTACAAAATACTTGGACAAAAGCCAGCTAAGATTTACTGTTATCTTGCATGTTTTATGAAACTATTCACATCTAAATGCAGCACTTTTTTTGCGATGAGGCATTTTTTTTAAACTAAAATATCTGAATTACTTTGATTATAATTTATAGCCTTCGTCCTCAGTTGCTTTGAAAGCATAAGTATCATTCCCCCAATCTAAGCCCCATAATGCACCTTATTTCAAGGTTTATTGAATATTTAAAAATTAAAAGAATATACAGTTACTTAGTTTTTAAGGGGGTATACTTAATCACGACATTTGTGGAATGGTCCCACACATTTCTACTGAACTGAAAGTCCAGTGAATCCACCACAATTACTCCTGCTCACCCTCAAGAATTATATCGAATGTTTTTTAAATATTATGAGGTTATTACAAGAATACATCAACGTATGCACGAAGACAGTACAGCTGGAGTATCAACTGACACACAGCAGAGGTCGATGCAATGCGTACTGTCTAAGTGCATACTTTGAGCTATTCCCTTATTATAACTTATTATGTATAACCTTATTATTATACATCTTTTCCTTCTGAGGATACATCATGGGAATGCCAAAATCCAAAAAGTTTAGAACAGAATCAGCAAACTTCTTTGTGTGGAGTCCGGTTAAACCCTGATGGCAGCCATGTTTGTTTTTATTATTCAAGGACACTTATGCACATAATCATTCCATATTCGGAATTCGCATTTCTTATATGGTAGAATGAAAATACCTCGTAAAATACCGCAAAGTTACAGCACACTGTAAGTTATGGCGTTCCGGTGACAGATGTATAATAATAACATTTACTTCATTTTTGTAACCTTTATGACATTAATTTCATCATCAATAACAGTAAAGTTCACAAATCATGGGCAAGGTGTTCAATAGTTTCACTGTTTTTTTTCACAATTTACTAAAAATATGAAAATAAATTGGTAGAATTTACATAGTGTGCACATGTATATGTAAAATGTTTGCTATATTTTGCTTTATTTTCTCAATTATGAATTTTACTAACATTTTAAAAAATTCAATGAGAACCCAGCATGACCACTATACTACATCAAGTTCCTGAAATAATGCAATTCGTACCATAAGCACTCATCATACATTATTTTGAAAATTTGAGTACTTGGCAAGTTGAGTACTTGTATTTAAACTTGATCAACCCACTTAGTTCACATTGATACAAACTGAGGAAATGACATGTATTATTACTTGCAGAAAGTGATTGAACAGTTGAGTACCAAGAATATGTCAAACAAGGAACAATACCAGAGTGAAGTCAGTCTGCATACTGAGCAACCATACCTATGTGAAGAATATGACAAGTGTTTTACTGTGAAAGCCACACTGAAAACACACATGAGAGTGCATATTGGTGAGCAACCATATCAATGTAAAGAATGCAACAAGTGTTTTACCATGAAAGGCCACCTGAAAACACACATGAGAGTGCATACAGGTGAACGACCATACCAATGTAATGAATGTAACAAGCGCTTTACCATGAAAAGTAGTCTGAACAGACACATGAGAGTGCACACTGGTGAGAAACCATACCAATCTAAAGATTGTGACAAGTCTTATAAAAACAAATGTAGCCTGAAAACACATTCAAGAGTGCATAGTGGTAATCAACCATACCAATGTAAAATTTGCGACAAGATATTTACCGTGAAAGCAACTCTGAAAAGACATGTGAGAGTGCATACTGATGAGAAACCATACCAATGTAAAGAATGCAACAAGTGGTTTACACAGAAAGGCCATCTGAAAACACACATGAGAGTGCATACAGGTGAGCAACCATACCAATGTAAAGAATGCAAAAAGCGTTTTACCTGGAAAGGCAATCTGAAAACACACACGAGCGTGCATACTGGTGAGAAACCATATCAATGTAAAGAATGCAACAAGTGTTTTACTCAGAAAGACTACCTGAAAATACACATGAGAGTGCATACAGGTGAGCAACCATATCAATGTAAAGAATGCAACAAGTGTTTTACCCAGAAAGGCAGTCTGAAAACACACATGAGAGTGCATACTGGTGAGCAGCCATACCAATGTAAAGAATGCAACAAGTGTTTTACCCGGAAAGGCCACCTGAAAACACACATGAGAGTGCATACAGGTGAGCAACCCTACCAATGTAAAGAATGCAACAACTGTTTTACCTGGGAAAGCACTCTGAAAACACACACGAGAGTGCATACTGGTGAGCAACCATACCGATGTAAACAATGCAACAAGTGTTTTACCTTGAAAAGTACTCTGAAAACACACATGAGAGTGCATACTGGCGAGAAACCATATGAATGTATAGAATGCAACAAGTGCTTTACCATGAAAAGCAACCTGAAAACACACATGAGAGTGCATACAGGTGAGAAACCATACCAATGTAAAGAATGCAACAAGTGTTTTACTCAGAAAGACTACCTGAAAATACACATGAGAGTGCATACAGGTGAGCAACCATACCAATGTAAAGAATGCAACAACTGTTTTACCTGGGAAAGCACTCTGAAAACACACACGAGAGTGCATGCTGGTGAGCAACCATACCGATGTAAACAATGCAACAAGTGTTTTACCTTGAAAAGTACTCTGAAAACACACATGAGAGTGCATACTGGCGAGAGACCATATGAATGTATAGAATGCAACAAGTGTTTTACCTACAAAGGCACTCTGAATACACACATGAGAGTGCATACTGGTGAGCAGCCATACCAATGTAAAGAATGCAACAAGTGTTTTACCCTGAAAGGCAATCTGAAAAGACACACGAGAAAGGATATCGGCCAGCAGCCATACAAATGTAAACAATGTGACAAGTCTTATGAAACCAAATGCAGCCTGAAAAAACACATGGAAGTTCATATTGTTCAGCAACGTCACAGTATCAGGAAGTTAGAAGAAACAAAGATTGGTGGACATGTACATGTATTCCGTGTAATATTTATGTAGTGTAATACAGTGTGTGTTCGTATTCATTTTGAAAAAAAATATCAGAAAGAAATGTTTGTGTTTGACAGTTTCAAAATGATGACAAATATAGTTATCACATCATTACACTGGGCTTCATATGATGACAATATAGTTATCACAGCATTACACTGGGCTTCATATGATGACAAATGTAGTTATCGAAGCATTACACTGGGCTTCATATGATGACAAATATAGTTATCACATTATACTGGGCTTTATATGATGACAAATATAGTTAGCACATCATTACACTGGGCTTCATATGATGACAAATATAGTTATCACAGCATTACACTGGGCTTCATATGACAAATATAGTTATCATAGCATTACACTGGGCTTCATATGATGATGTTACCAATATTTACGAGAGTTTAGATTCCAAATAAATTTATCTCAGGGTAGGGAACGAGGGGATACCGTTGACTTCCGATTTCATACAAATGTGCACATAGTAACGACATACAATAGAACACCAAGCGAGACACAGGTCAAATAGGTTTAAATCCATATATATTCGTGGTAACAAGTAAACATTAACAACAACAAAGTTGTACATAAATAAACAAAATAATGTTACTATATCACAAATAGTCAACAATAATAATGCCTTAATCTACACAGCAATACTGTCTGTTATGACCCTTAACCTAACGTATCTATGCCAATACTGTCGCTACGTCGGTAGTGCTAAACGATGGGTAGTCTGTCACGTCGCGTTTAGTCAGCGGTACTATCACGCTCAACTACAACGCCTATGTTATATTGCAAGAGCCCTGCTCGGCAACTGTAACCCCTAGACTAATCTATTCTCAAAGTATCTCCAAATACTCAAATAAAAACCCAACAACCAATACACTAACACTATGCTTCAGTATTGCTATTACACCACATAGAACCAATCACTAGCCTAAGTATTAACAACCCGTATTCTCATTGGTCATCCCTGACTGA